CCCCATCCTCCTCCCCGCAGCCGCCGCCTCGTCCGCAAGCCGCCCGCTCTCCGAGGGGTCGAGGCCGCTCCCACCCCCGCAGGCGACTCGGGGGCCCCGAGCCGGGCGCTACGCGTACTGCCCGGCCCGCCTCTGCCGGGGCGGAAGCATCGGGCAGCCGGACCGCTCCGGGGCGCCGCAGGCAGGAGCCGGTCTAAGGACGGGGCCGCACCGGTGGCGGGCCCGCTCCGGCTCAGGCGCCTCCTCTCGGCGGCAGACACGTGGGGAAAGGCGGGGTCTGAGCGAGGGGCGGGCGCCAGGCGCCCCGGAGGCGGGGCCGGCCCGGCGCCGGGACTGAGCCGCCTGCGCTCTGGTTCTCTGCTGCCGCACTTCGGGACCTAAAATGGCGGCAGCCTCGGAGCCGCTCCAACCTGAAGGCTCGAGGTCATAGGAAAACTACAATTCCCAGCATGCAGAGCGTAGCCGAGACGCAGTCTCTGCTGCCCTTTACTACAGTTCCCACCATCCTGCGGGGTCCCGAGGCTCGGCAGTTGTCCCGGGAAACTACATTTCCCAGCATGCAATGTCTTAGATCTGCCTGCTGATGCTTCGCGGTTTGTCCTTGGCGGACGGTGAAGTCGTCCACCTTCAAAGCATGCACCGCCGAATATGGTGCTGTTAATTTATGTCTCATTGAACCTGGTGAAGCGGACGGAATGTGGCAAAAGACCAAAGTCGTGACCTTAAGTTTTCCAATCCCACCTCCACCTTTATTTTTCCAAGAGGAGGAGTGAGGAAATTGAGGAAAGTAGAGTACTGGTGGAGGATGGGAAGTAACATGCCTCCAGTTAACCTCATTGTAGAATTTATAAGACTGCTGCTGAGGTAGGAAGAGAGTACAACACTCAGGGATTAGCACAACCACGGGCACACGAGGGACATGTGCATTCATTCAACAGATATTCGCAGTGTGTATCCTATATGCCTGGCACTTCCCTTGGTGTAGGGGGAGGCTGGAAGAACCAACAAAATATCAGTCTCTGGGCTTTATAGAACATTAAAGCAACGCCTGAGAGTAATCTTAGAGTATCGCATGGTGAAGGACTATGTGATGAGTTATAAAGTATCTGAATGGCGGAAAGCCCTGCAAGTATCAGAGGGTCAAGTATTCTGGTCAAAGAACACAAGTACGAAGAGCTGAGGCATGAAAGAGTCTTTCATATTCAAGGAAGCAAAAAGCTGCTATGGCTGGAAAGTCAAAGACAGCTATTAACGGACAAGGAGGTAGGTAATGGTGTGAAGGTGGGCAAGCAGTCAGAAGCCAGATCCTGAAAGAGTTTTTAAATTTATGATGTAGTTTAGATTTTAAGATTTTAGCAGTGTGTGTGTGTGTGTGTGTGTGTGTGTGTGCGCGCGCGCTCCCACGCACGCATGTGTGTTTAAAAGATTACTCTGGTTACTGTATGGAAAATGTATTTTAGAGTAGTAAAGGAGGTAGAAGCAAGGAAATCAATGTGGTAGAGTATAAAAATAACCAGTGGCCCAAATTATACATAATTTTTGGGGTCTCCCCTACTGATTTTGTGCCTGGCCTCTGTCTTGGTTTGGCCAATGGGACATTAATAAACATGATGCAAGCAGAGATTTGAAATGCTTTTTCTACTTGGAGCCTCTTGGAGATTTTGGGAATCCTGTGATCACATCAAATGAACAAGTGTTAGTCTGATGAATGACAAGGGCCACATTGTACAGTCTTCACCTGTCCCCTAAACCATGCTGCTCTAGCCAGGTCCATCCGACAGATGAACCACCCACTCAACCCACAGTGTGTGGAAAAGTATTTTAAATCACAGAGTTTTGGGGATGGCAAGAACTATTCTAGAACTAAGTGTTAGAAGGGGGCTTAGATTTTGATGGTGGGGGAGACTAAGAAAGTTGGAATTGAATTATTTTGGAGGCAGAGTTTATAGAACTTGCATTTAGGCTGAATATTGAATTTGGTAGAGGGGATTCAAGAATAACTTTTAGATTTTTTATGTGGGCATCTGGGTAGATAAAGGCGCCATTTATAAGATGTGAAACATTAAACATTGTAGGGAGGTGGGAAATCTGGAAGTATGGTTTGATGATTCTATGTTAGAGATGCCTGGTACACATCCATAAGATATAGGTATTTGCATAAATTCTAGTTATAGCTATTAAATAAGCTAAAATAGATATTAATAGATGAAAATAGATTTTAAAGCTTTGGAACTGGTTGGATGACCTAGGAAAATGTCTAGTTAGCAAGAAACATACCAAGGGCAAAGTTCTAGTGTCCTTTACCACTTACAGGTAAAGATGAAAGAGGAATGATAGAGGCAGGAGGGAAATCAGAACATAGTAACACAGAAGTCACAAGACTGTTAAATTCAGTGGTATAGAGATTACCAATAACCTGATGTGAGCAGTCTCATAGAGGGGTGGTTTCTAAAGAGCCCCTAGAAAAGAGGCAAATTAAGGGGAGGAAATGGAAATAACTCTTCAATTTGGGGCAACAGCTGGATAGGAAGTGGAGCCCAGGGAAGGCATTTTAAAGCTGGAAGTTATTGAGGACATATTTGTACACAAAGAGAAAGAACTTGAGTATGAAAAATGAGATTTTTCAAGGTCAAAGAAAGGAAGAACGTTCTAGTGTACAGGCCTATGGTTTCAGGAATGCTTCATCCATAATGACAGCATAATAGGGACGTGCAGGTGCATAGTGATGACACAGAAGGCAAGAGAGACAGAGACAGCAATCTAGGAGCCCTGGAGTATGGGAAGTGGGGGTGTTCTTTTCTGATCTTCTTAATGAATTGTGAGACAAGATGAGTGGTATGGAGACATTAGGACTGATATATAATAGCAGAAACCATTCACTGTTCAGTCACTGAAAAGGTAATAAATGAGTACTTTTTATGTGTCAGTCACTGTGAATCACTAGTCCATCCCTGAAAAATGGACAGGATATCTGCTCTCAAGAAGTTGGCAAGCCAGTGAAAGAAATTTCCATATATGTGTATATACACCCACGTATATATGTGTGTGTATGTGTGTATATGTAGTCATCAATTTATAATTTAAATCAGGAGACAACAGTAATAGAGCCTACCAGGAAGATTTATTTGAGGTAGTTGTTAGGAGACAGATTAACTTAGAATTAGAACCTAGAGCACCAGCTGCCTCATTTTTAATATAACTTTTACATTTCGTATATGAATCTTCCGCTAGAAAAACTTCTAAAATCTGCTTCAGACAGGTTACTTAAGTCCATGAACTTTTATTAAGTTTTTTATATGCAAAGTAACTATAGCCATGTAATGTTTCATATGAAAAGTTTTATTCAAAATAATGTTTGGCATCTAAATATTTTCAAAATGTATTCTTAAGGATTAGAATTAGCAAACTTAGTTTATCTTTTAAAATTCTATATGAGCACATAGAATATCTATGTATTTTACTTTAAAATACAAATACATTGTCAATTTAACAGCATACAAAATATGAAACTATTTCTGCTTGGGAGCAATTCAAGAACACTTCTGAAATCTTGAATTTTATAATACTGTGAGCTTATAATTAATATTTGTCAGTCAAACACAGTATAATACCTATGCTTAATATTGCTTTAGTTTTACTTGAGTTTTATAAGGGCTATAAACATTTCTTTTATAAAGATTCATGTACTGGAAGTAGCTCAGAACTAGAACAGTGAGGAACAGCAGCATCAGGACGAAGACAATGGCAGAAACCAGGTAGCCGCTTGTTCTGAAACAAGAACAGCAAAAAATGTCATCAGAGGGGACTGTTTGCATTTCGATTGTTAATTTTTTTAACCAAACAATATGTCCTTGGCACCAAATAGAGACTAAAGTCATGACGTCTACATTTAGGCATTGGATGTTGGAAGCTGACCAGAGAGGAAGTCATGGTGGTCATAAGAGAGAAAGAAATATGAAGTTCTGAGGGAGCTGTGCGTCGTGTGGGTAGGGGGTGTTGCCGTGTCATGTGGGGAACCCTGAACTGGGTGTGGATGGGAGTTAGCTAGATAGAAATGTTTGGGAATAGAGGAAGAGTGTGATGGAACTGTTACAGGCACCTGCAAGGTGACGGAAGCTTAAGGACATTTTAAGATCTCTCCCAGATGTTCTGGAACTCTAAGTTGATCTGACTAGGGCTCAGGTGCCAGTGGAGTGATTCCAGATGAGCGGCTCGGGCTGCAGCTCAGTGGTGGAGCCCCCCCTAGCATCCATGAGGCTCTGGGTTGGATCTCCAGTGCTGCTACCAACAAGCAAAAAGCTAAGTGGGCAGGGCCAGATGAGACCAACTACACACCAAGGTAGAGAGTGGGGTTTAGCCAATAAACGAGGGCGTTTCAGACATGTAATATAAGACTGGCATTTTAGAAGGATAATTCAGGTGGTAGTGTGAATAGTCCATAAAAGGAAAACTTGAGTATGAAGACCAAAAACCCAGTTATGAGGGATTTGTAAGAATCCAGGCAAGCGACAATATGGGTATTGAGTAAATCAGAGGCTAAAGAAATAGAATTAGATACATCTAAGACATGTTCAGGAGTTAGGTTGGATTGGCTTTGGGAATAGGTCATTTGGGATAGGTTTTGGGGATAGGTCACTGGGACAACATTATTTACCACTGGCAGAGGAAATTCGGAGGAGAGAACACTCCACCTCCTCTTTCTTCTCACCCCAGAGAGAGAATCTCTGTTGCCCAGACTGGCCTTGAAGTCCTCCCGAATACCTGGGACTACAGGTACATGCCACCATACCAGGCTGGAGTCCTGTGTGTGTGTGTGTGTGTGTGTGTGTGTGTCTGTGTGTACACCACTCAGACGAGGACTCGCAGCTGAGTGCCAGCCAGCCACCTCTTCACCCAGGACTCTGCACAGGTGCCTCCCCTCAGAGACGATTTCATTCTTAGGCCGACACTTGGCTGCTGTCGTTCATTTGTTAGCCCAGCATGGCTGTTAGCTTCCACTCTCCTTCAAACCGAAATTATTGTTGGAATGTTGCAGCTTTTCAAGTCACATTAGCCTCGTCTTTCTCCTCTGGCTACCAACACACCCAGCTGCAGTGCATGGGTCCCTTCTTTATAACTGTCTGGTATCTGCCAGACATGGTGCAAGGGATGGGCAATAAAATGAGTAGAAGCAGGCACGAGCCCCGTCCTTAAGAAGCTCACATTGCAGTGGGGGTATCGTAAATAAACAAATGATGATAAAATAAACTAAAATTGCCAATGGTGATAAGGAGAGAAAATAATAAAAACAGAGAGATACACGGTGCGATGAAAGCTCATTAGAGCAGGATTTAACCTGGTGAACGGGATCAAGAAATGCCCTCATGAGGAAAAGATGATTATCCAATGGCTAAAGAATAAACAGAAGGAAAGTTGATAAAGTTAAGTGGCAAAGAGAAAAGCAGAGTCCAGGTAGACAAATAGCACGTGCAAAGGTCCTGCAGAGGGGGAGAGAGTAGAGCCGGCTGGGGACTGGAAGAAGGTTGGAGGGTGTGGAGCTGAGAGAACGATGGGGACAGGGACATGATCCCAGGTGAGAAGTAGGAAGGTGCTAGAGCCTAAGGCCTTCTAGGCCACGTGAAGGAATTTTACATTGATGGAGAGAAGCAGTGGGGTTGAGGCCACTACACTCAGCATTTTGAAAACACTACTCTAGGGCAGGGAGATGGCTCAGTAGAATAAGCGTTTCCCTGGCAAGCGCAAGGGCCTGAGTTCAATCCTTGGTTCTGCCAAACAAACAAACTACTCTGGCTCTGTGAGAATGAGTGAGAAAAAAGTAGGCATGAGGAGGGGAGCTCAGCTAGGAATCTGTTTCAGAGACAGTGGTAGCTTAGATAAGAGGGATGGGGGTGGGGTTAAGAAGTGGGCCCACTTGGGGGCCATGTAGGAGAGACAACGAAGGGAGTCAAGGTGGTTGGATGAGTGGCTGTGTCTCTGGTCACTGCCTGTGAAAGGGGGCTCTCTTGCTGGGAAACGCTACCAGCTAACTCATCTGGCTCTGGTACTCTAAGGGTCAGCAGAGGCCAGTCTGTGGCCACTATGCTAGGGGCCCATTCCCAACTCTGGCAGTCTGCGTGTGCACTGGCTGCTGGCTCTGGCTGCTGGCTCCACCTCCTCACTTAGGTGTTCTCCTCTCCTTCCTCCTCACTGGGGTGGGTGCCACTCCATACTCTCCTCCATCAACCATGCCAATGCAGCAAGGAAGAGAAGTTGCCACAATATATTAAGCATGCTTCCCAGAGTTACCTTAGAAACAACTCTTTGCTTATTCCACTTGCAGGTTATTTATAACATTGACCTTCCATTAACATTCAAAATCAAGGCATCAGTAATATTTAAAGCAGGGTCATACATAACTTGTCTCCTACTTTATTTTTTTAGCGTTGAACTCAGAGGCTCACACGTACACTTTAAGTGTGTACCACTGAGCTATACCTGCAGCCCATACTTTTTCATTTAACATTGTACAAACAAAACAAAACAGAACAAATAAGAAACATCCCCAAATATCAGGCCCAGGACAGAGAAGCAAAATCAATTTAGGTCTAACTTTAGTCTTTTTGTCATTGTAAAAGAAACGAGAAGGTTAATTAGAGATATAGGACGCACTTGAGTGTGGGTGCTCAGAGAAATGAGACACTCCTGCCTTTAGTCGTAAAGCTGTAGTCTGTTCCCCAAAGTGACAGGAACTGAGTCCGGGGAAATGTCTGCCCTGCCGTTTTCTTGGACGCATCAGAATGATTTCGTAGAAGGCTTTGTATAGAGACTTTGTAAAAGCCACTGGCTTTGTAATGAACACTTCATGCAAGTTTTAAATTTTGTTTTGTTTTAGGATTCATTTAAAGTGTATGCCCTAAGGAATATTTTACACACTAGGATTTACATTGGGAATCTGCAAAGTGACTGTACAAGCTTCGATTTTGGGAGACACTGGGGCATATTTCCTATTTAGCTACTGCTCGTATCTTTTAAACATTCTTTGATGAATGCCCCCACAGGCACTTCACATTACCTGGGAATCACTCCAAAGATCTCTATAGCAAATGTAGCCGTTAGGTTACAGAAACTGCAAATTAGAACAAACAGTATTAAAGATTAAATTAAATATACCTAGAACTTCTTCCATATTGCTATGGTAACTAAACTCAAATACAATTTTAGGGTATCATTTCATTGACAAGGGATAGAACAGATACGTTTATTTTATAGCGTTGATGATTTTCTATACATAGATTTTAGAGTGCTATGAGATCCCATAGAACCTAACACTGTCCTCATGGAATTACCTTATTTTTTAAAATTAAGTATATATATATATATATATATATATTTTTTTTTTTTCCGAAACCCGGGATTGAACTCAGGCCCTTGAGCTTGCCATTAGTCTACCGAGCATTCTCCCTGGCCCCTAAATACTTTTTTTTTTTTGGCGGAACCAGGGATTGAACTCAGGACCTTGTGCTTGCCAGGGAAGGGCTTATTCCACTGAGCCATCTCCCTGGCTTTTATATTTTTTTTTGAGGCAGAATTTTACTATGTAGTTTTGGCTGGCCTTGAACTCACTCTGTAGCCTAGACTGGCCTTGAACCTGCAGTGATCCTCCTGCCTCAGCCTCCTGAGTGCTGGGATTGTAAGTGTATGACACCACTCCTGGTGCAATCACCTTATTTGATAGCAGTTCCAAAGGCAACAGTAATAGTGATATGTGTAGATAGATATAATTTATAGAATTGGGAACAATAAGTATTGATGAAAGTAATAAGCAGTTTACATGTATTAGGCATTAATATTTAGTGAAAGTGGATGCTAGCAGCATTTGCTGTGTACAGGGAAGTGTACCAAATTCTTACATGCATTATCTTAGTCAATCCTTTCATTTATTTTTGTTGGTTTTGGGTTTTTTTTTTTTTTTAATTGGGACTTGAACATAAGACTTTGTGTGCAGGCGCTGTGCCTCTGAGCTATCTCCCTGGCTGTCAGTCCTTTTAGATGAGGAAACTGAGGCACATTAAGCAACTTGCAGAATTGCCACAGTTGTTTGAATAGCAGAGCTGGCCTTTGCTTTCAGGCTTTCCTGGTCCTCGACCCTGTGAGGTTCACCTGAAGCAGAGTGGCTCCTGTGGGACACAGAGTGTCAGGGGCCGGGCCGGGTAGGTGCGATGGTATTAGCATGTCTAAACTGACCGAGTCTCTGTCGTGACTCAGCATGTTGGTAGGAAGGAGGCAGGAGACAGCCAAGTAAACACAGTGGGATTTTACTTTCCTTCACGTGGCAGAAGGTGAAAGAAAGGAGTCTATGCTATGGAATACCTACAATGTGCTCAGCAGGTGCTGCCTTTACCTTTGTCAGGGGATGCCAACCCATTTGACAGACACAGAAGTAGCCATACAGAGGCCTAGAAATTTGCTTAATTCTGAATTTAACTTTGATCAAAACAAGGAAGGGATATTATGCGGTGATAAGGAAGATGTAATCATTCTAAATGTGTATTCAGCTTAAAGAAAAGACATGATTCAAAAACTGGTAGAACTGAAAGGGGAAATAGATAAATCCCTGATTATAGTGGAGGACATCAGCATTCCTTTCTCAGAAATTGATGGGAATAGTAGAGTGAAAACTGGTACTAAAAAACAGAGATGTCAGAAATCCCCTTGTATGTAGTAATAAATCTAAAGCCTTAGGGAGAGGAAAATGTTGAAGCGAATTGATCAGATGTGAGTTACTTATCCACACAGAGACAGGGCCCAGAAGACACTCCATTCACCCTAGCAAAATGAGAACTACATCAGTGTCCGAAACACCAGCATTATGAACATTATGAAAGAAGAAATGTTTTACGGCCTTTTCTGCCATCAAAAAGGGTTCTTTAATTTCAGTAAAGATGGAAGGATCCTCTATAAACAGAGGCCAAATGAATTAAATTGTTAGAGATGAAGGAGGCATAACTGCCTTTAAGTGAAAATGGGGCATTAGTAATTGTGATTTTCAGTCTGTCTTGTCAACTTCATTGGATTGAGAGATGCCTAGGAAACTTCTAAGGCGCACTTCTGGGTGTGTCTGCATGGGCCTTGCCAGAGATGGTTGGCATTGTGGACAGAAAAACAATGCAGGAGACCCACCCTAAACATGGGCAGCATCAGCAAACTGGGCAAGAGTCCAGATAAAGCAAAAGAGCAAAGGAGGAAGCCCAGCGTGTGTGCTTTTTCGCTTTCTCTCTGCGTTCTTTCTGCTGAACTACTTTGCTATACCGCATGCTATCTCACCAGGCTTCATTCAAGCCCCCCAAACAGTGGAACTAAGTAAGCACTGACTGAAATCCCCAACCTAAGACAAAATAAACGCCCTCCTCTGTTACGTTGTGTATTGTTAGGGTGTATGTCTAGATGTTCCCCCAATGCCTCATAGGTTCATAAGCAGGGCTTTTGGAAGGTCACTAGATTATTGAGACATTATAGCTAACTTGCATTGAGCAGCTGGACCCTAGTTGGAAGAGGTGATCACCGTGGTGTGGCCCAGAAGCTTATACATTCTTTCTGGGCTCCTCCCTGGATTCTGTCTGCTTCCTGCCCACCATGCTATGAGCAGCCCTTCTCAGCCATGCTCCTCTGCCGTGTCACCCTGCCTTGGAACCAGCAGACAAGGGCCTGGAAACTCTTCAAGCTGTGAGCCGGAATACACATCTCCTCCTTTGAGCTGCACATGTCAGCGATCATGTCTTGGTGATGAGGAAAGTGACTGAGATGTGTATCGGGTATTTTGTCACAGAATAAGAGGCTGATGGGCAAGAACTATTTAACATGAGTAGATCTAAATGAATCCTTGAATTTGGATAGTTTATTATGTGGCCCCTTGAATAGAAACACATGAGCAACTGTCTAAGCTTCGCTTGACTTCTATAAAGAATGTAAATGTGGAGCATGGAGAGAGACTTTCTGATGAACCATTGCAATAGTGACATATCTTTACCTAATCCCTCACCCAGTTTGATAAGGTAGCTGGAAGAGGCTGCATTTCTGGGAATTATTTTGAAAGAAAACCATGATAGCCTATTATCTTGACTAAAATCTTCCTACTTTTCCCCCACAAACTCCATGAACTATAGGGTGCGCCACACAGTTTTGAGAATGAAAGACAAGTTGCTGCTCTTTGTATTTCCTACCACAAAAGAGGATGGTGTTTGTGCTGCTGTTGTTGACCATACAATATGAGCCACATTTGAATGTGCTTCTCCAAATGTTCAGAAGGACCTGAAAGGCACCCTGAATGGGACCCGGAACCAAGAGAGTCTTCCCAGGTGATCCAGGTAATGCAAGTAGTGCTGTGTATAGACTTTTTTTTTTTTTTCTCAAAGTTTTATTGATAAACAGATAGCAATGAGACAGTTTCAAATCAAATCGGAAGTACAGTTTCAACAAATAGGTGTATGGACTCTTACAGTCTAAGAGATGTAAAGGTGCTTGATGTGTTTCTGGAAGATTAGGAAGCTGTATGGCTGTGGAAATTGTGATGGGGACTATCAGCAGATTCCTCTACAGTTCGGAAGCAACTGCAAGCATTCTTTGTCAGGAAACTGTTCTCAAAAATAGCTTCTGGGGAAGGCTTTGGTGGAAAACAAACATCAGACTACAGAAGGCTAGGAGACTGAAACCTGGGATGTTAATTATCAATTGAGTGTCGTCTCTAACACTATAAAGTCAGCAGTGCTCAGCTGAACTCTTATCATTAAATGCAATAGTTGATTTGTAGGTTCACTTTGCCTAGACATGGGGATTTGTCTTTCTTTCTTTCTTTCTTTCTTTCTTTCTTTCTTTCTTTCTTTCTTTCTTTCTTTCCTTCCTTCCTTCCTTCCTTCCTTCCTTCCTTCCTTC